ATTTTGACAACCCTAATCACGTAATCACGTAGCCTTCAGATTTTAGGGATTGGGGCAAGATTTAAAACATCATTTGAATTTAATTTAATAATTTTTATTTTATTTTCTTCATTAATACTTTTAATTGATTATAAATCTTTGTAGTCTTGTAGTCAATTAAATTTTTTTAAAAAAAGGCTTATCATCAAAGATATATATATAATTGATTAGTAGTATTTCGGGCCAAAACAAGCTGAACACAAACAAATAAATATTTTTTCGTGTTCGGCTCGTTAATTTAGCGAATGAGCTGAACACGAGCTTTTTAACTAGCCGAACACGAGTTGTTCACGAACGAGCCGTTTTGACAGCTCTACTTATACCGAAAACATGTTATTTTTAGATTTTTATTCCATGTTTTTTTTTTTATTAGGGGGCATTTACAGATATACCGAACAATTCTTATTATATAATTGCATATCTAACATGCTAATTTAAATATTTACATTTATAATCACATCGAAAACACCGGCTGCACAATTTTTTTAGAAAAATAAATATATTTTCATATGTAGGTTTATAACATGAAAATGTTATAAATATAAAAATCAAAACAATGATATTTTTTATTTGATATGAAAGATTAAGATCATAAATATAAAAAAAAAAATTGAGGTGGTAGATATGTAAATACATATTCATTAAATGATAACTCAATTTTCCGCTTCAATTTCTCCCAGCAAACACCTCAATTTTCTTCTTGGCTCTAGCGACCAACATTATATCACTGCTATACCTTTTTCATTTAATTTCTTCTCCTCAATTACTCTATATCCTGCTCACCTACTCACCTTTGGTCTGACATTTATATGGCATCAAGTATAAATGTGGCTATAGTCATTGATGTAAACATGAAATAATGTAGTTTTTATAATTTGTCTATTCAAAATTAAATTATTCTTACAGAACGTCGCCGTACCGTTTGATTCGCATGTTTTCTCAGCTTATCTGAAATTGCTTTGAGTTTTTACACTAAACACAGGCCGCGGGTCGACCTCTTGCGGCCGACCCGTAAACTGCATTTCAGGATAAGCAGCTTATCGTGAAACGCACAAGCTGCCCCAAACAGACCCTTAGTGACTGAATTAAATCAGTATTATTTTCTCTAATCTTTTCGTTCAGCATGTAATTAATTTTTTTTTAAAATTTTACAATTCAGAGATTTTGATTGCATCATTTTGTTCGCGTTTAAATACTTTTACGATTATTACGTTATCTGATTCAACCTCCGGTTCGACCCCCAGTTGAATCAATGAATGTTGAGCCTCTTCCTTCTGATTCGATGTTTGGTCCGGTTTTCATAACCTTGAATTTTGTCGTGAATTTTGATACTATAGTCAATTTAAAAAACGAATGAAAGTGGATGCTAAATTTGTAAATAATAATGTTCCAAGTGCTGGTGTATGTAATTGCCCTCAGGTAAATATGAAAGTTTAGAGGTTAGAAATGTAAATTTGCCAGCAGTAGCATCATAACATATAATAAAACAAAAATCAAAATTTATGTTCTCTTTTTCCCCTAAACATTTCTTTAAATAGTATATATGCAAATCAAAACAAAAAAATAAATTACAGAAAATAGTTCCAAAAGAGGGAATCTGTCTGCGCCAATTTACATGGACATATATATATATATATATAGCATCAGCAACAGAACCACTGACCCGAGAATTGAGAAGAGGCTGAAGAGCTTTGACAACAATGCTCATATTTGGCCGAAAATCAGCTTCATATTGCACACACAAGGCCGCCACTGCAGCAAACTGAGACAAGGAGAATATCATCACATTTGTATTCATTAACATAGTTCAACCAAACCATGACAGATAAATAAAATTAAATTTATTAAAAATGTAGTGATAATTACATTACATACATAGCACACAAAACATTGCTATTTTGCAAAATCTATCACCCAGGTGGTAATTTTGAACTATCGAACTGGTGTATTTACACGTGCCACGATCAAACCATTGAGAATTTGATAAACATGAAAATTATGGTTTGACCAAAATTGAATTTTAAGCTACCGAACCAATGAATTTACACGTGACACAATGAATTTCTCCTCCCTTTAAGACTTCATGAGAAGAATACTCCAAATCAATGGAAAATTTATTTGGCCAAGTTGAATTCAGTCTAATTCAAAGATAAAACTAAGATTAATTCTCTAGAAGATCCATTCATAAAATACACACGGTGAACAACACATTGAGAGATGTACAAGGACTTGGTGTGATAATATCATCTAATGGCTTCAAAGGACAGAATTTGGCATATGATTTGTTTTCCTCTTCCAACTTAGAAATTAAACTAGTCCTTGGATAAATCATTAATTATTGAAGGCTAAGAATTAAAATCTTTTCACTTAATGGGAGGCTCTAAAAAGTCATCATCATTTGGGATGGTAATTATGTTAGAGTTCATCATCTCGCACCAAAGAATCATATGGTTGCCTATTTATATAAGTTTAGAATTTAATATCTAAAAAATCAAAATTTTTTTGGTCCCTTTGACTCATCAAGTCCATCAAAGGCTATGTTTAAATTACCGCATTCGAAAATTAGTTTAAAGCAGAATAAGGAACTCAAGAAGTACCAAAATCTGAGCAAAAAATGTTGTATATATAAAGACATTATGATATATGAAAAGAAATGAGAAAAATGAAGAGCAAAGATAATTTGATGAAGAGCAAAGATAATTTGAAGATTGATCTCAAAATAAAGCAAATGTTGTTTTCATTTTCTCATCAAAATAGTTGGGAAATTTGATTACTAATCTAAACATAAAGAGAGAAATTGAGCGTGAACAAGAAAACTTGAAGCAAGCTTTCTACAGCATCTATAACCAGTAGTATCAGTTAAATAGTAAAATCCAAAATAATTACCTTGGCTACTGCCTTGGGAGGATAGTCTCCTCCTAGCCTCGTGTCAACACATTGACTTACCTTGTCTTCACTAAGCCTCGGCGTTGCCTACATAAAAAAAAGGTATCATCTTACTAACGATTTGAAGGTCAGAGCGCTAACAGAACCTTCTCACATTCGTAGGAACAGACTAAATAGAACCAGAAATTCATTACCCATGTCACAAGACTTTGCTGACCCCGTGGTAACGTATGATCGACAGGCTTACGGCCTGTAAGTAGCTCCAAAAGTACAACACCAAAGCTATAAACATCGCTCTTCGAACTAAGCTGTCCTGTCATCGCATACCTGTCCAACAATAAGAACGATTCAGAGATGACAATATTTGATTTTAGGAGTTGGAAACTTATGGGAGAAACAATATATTAACCAAACTTACTCAGGAGCATGATATCCAAATGTACCAAGTACTCTAGTTGAGTGAAGCCGAGCCGCTGTGTCCGGAGATTGATTCGAAAGATCAAAATCACCAATCTTTGCAACATCTTCGTCGAAAAGAAGGACATTGCTGGATTTGATATCACGATGGATGACGGGGGGTTGTGATTTCTCATGCAAGTATTCAAGTCCTCTTGCTGCTCCTACAGCTATTTTGACTCTCTGAGCCCACGACAGAACTGGACCAGGCTGTGCTCCCTTGACACCTTTACGCCCTGTATTAAGGCAGCAATCAAGCAGCTAAGGTGAACCTAACTCGAATAGATCAAATTGAACGGAAATTAAACAAAGAACCCACTGCACTAGGCATTTATCAGGAGCAATATAGTAATAACTCTAACTCTCATCTGTTGGGATATTGTCCACTTTGACCTAATGGCCTTACGGTTTTATCACATTGATGTACTTTTGAGAAGGTCTCCCATCTTGAGAGTGCTCTGGCAAGAGCACATTTAAGTTGATGATGAAATTCCAACTATTGCACCAAAAGGCGCCGCAATGTTTAAGAGTTCAGTTTAATTCTAAATAAGGAAAATATCAGTTTAAATTTTAATTGCTATAAAACTCTGAGTCTACCATCAGGCCATCACGATCAGTGGCATAGGAGCACAGGGTAAAACAGAGAAAAAACAAGGGAAAAGCAAGCATGAGATTTCATAAAAATATATCAGAATGCTGTTCTGTCACCATGATCAAGAAGAAGCCACATACCTTGTGCACACCATAAACCACAAAACATGACAAATTAAAATCAAAACAGACTTAAAACTTACAAATATCAAAACTACAGAGCAAAATAATAAGGAAAGCAAAGTTAGTTATTGGCAGTAAGTAATACAAGGTTTCTTAGGATGCTTCCTATTAGATTATAATGACCATCCCTGTGCCATTATTACTTATTATTTGATTTTATTCCTTGATTACGTAATTAACCTTTTGCTTTATTCTGTTTTTATTTCTTTCTTATTTATTTTATTCTTTTTCATTACTTCACATTATTATGCCTATTGTAATTAGGTTTAAACACCCCACTTCCTATCAATGAAATTGAGCCGGTCAATTCCAAATCCTAACATGGTATCAAAGCCTAAACCTAGATCTAGCAGCCCCCGAGCTTCTCTACCAGTTCCAGCAGCCGCTGCCTCCACCTCATTTCCTTTCCCTGCAGAAAATCCTGTGAGAAACCTCCAGCGTGAGAGCAATATTTTTTCCCCATCTCCCGTGAGAAACCTCCAGTGCGAGAGCAATATTTTTTACCCATCTCCTGTGAGAAACCTCCAGTGCTAGGAATCCTACCGTGAATCCAAGGAGCTTTTCCATCTCTGAGAACATTCAGTGCCATGAGATTCCACTCTCCGGTGAGATTCTAATCATCCCAGACGGCTTCCAATTCCCTGGTCCCGTGAGATTCCAACTCCTATGAGAAACCAAGAAGCTTTCCCAGCCGCTGTCTTCCACCTAAAGGAGTCCAAAAGGTTCCTGTCCGCAAGATTTCGCCTATGAAGCTCCTCCTGCAGGCTCCTATCCGTCTGATACCCCCATTGTTTTGCAAAAATAATTCCTACAATTGTATCTGTTTGTCGCGATTCAAAAAAAAAAAAATCATCGATGACTCATAACCACAACAACATATCCTTTGGCTCAGTCGAAATTATGGTTGATTCTTTCAATGAATCACCTCAGAATGCGTTCTTGACTCCACCGGAGGATCAACTCCAACCTCCGCTTCTTTGCAGACTGGAGGCAGAAGCCAACAAGAATTTCTCGATCACAACTCATAAATTGAACGACAATAACTTCCTATAATGATCCTAAGTGGTATCGTTGTTCATCAAAGGATGTCGGAAATTCGATCATCTCACAGGTATGATTCATAAGCCTCCAAAGACTGACCCGACATATGGAGTTTAGGGAGTGGAGAACTCCATGGTCATGTCTTGGATAATCAACTTCATGAAGACTTCAACTGGTCGTTCGTACATGTTCCTCCCTTCAGCTAGTGCTCTCTAGAAGGCTGCTCGCGATACCTACTAAGAGGTAAGAAATTCTGGCCAACTCTATGAGGTATCCGAGAAGATCTGGAAAACAAAACAAGGATCAAGGACCGCGACCCAGTATTATAATGACCTAGTTGCATTATGGGTGGAACATGACTTGTATTACGATTACACTTGGAATTCTCTGGCCGACTTATCCCCCTTCCAAAAGATTGTAAAAAAGGATCGTATGTTTCAATTCCTTGTTGGTCTTAACAAAGACCATGACGAAGTTCGGGGCCGTATTCTTGGTCCAAACCCTCTTCTTTCAACTGGAGCACTATTTGAGATCAAGGCGGACGACTCAGTTGGGTTGGTTGGCACTGTTTCGACCCTAAAGAACATTTGTTTTGGTGGTTGCACTCCCCGATTTTGTTCCACATTGAAGTCGGCGGATCCACGACAAAAAAATTGAGGCTTAGGTTGTTTAGATTGTTGAATTACTGCTTTATAAGCAAAGTTAATGACTTGTGACAGGAACCAAACAAAATTCGTTTCTAATTTCTCTTGTATTCATTCTTTCAAGCCACAATATATCTAGCTACTAATTGCTGATCCGTTACAATCAGGTAATTTAGTGCACAACCTATAAAATTCTTCCATATAAGCACTCACATTTCGATCATTTTTGTCACATCTTTGGTACTATAGATAAAACAATTGCTTATATTTGGTGGGAATAAAATGACCTCGAAATAATTATTTCATATGATTCCAACTCTAAACCTTTCGATGCTCCTCACTTTTCCGAGTTTGAACCAATTGAATCCACCAAGCCCCTGCTCCCCCTTTCAACAGACATGTGACATACTAGACTGTTTCTCCGGCGAGATGTCACTGTATTCGAAGAAGGAATCTACCGTTTGTTCCCAATCCAAGTAATATTCAATGTGCAAATGCCCATCAAAAGGAGGTATATCTAATTTTACTTTGAATTCACCTTGCAGTCGATTCCCAGAACCTCTTCACAGTGGAGGATTGCCCCGTGTTTCATTCTCACTATCTGAATCGGAATCCACGATCTCTACCTTGCGTCGAGATTTATTCCCTCTTCAAATTCGACATTAGGGTAGGTCAACTCAAATGATCTGAATTTGCTGGAATGGAATCTCTCATGGCTGGTACGGCTGCGAAGCTTACCGGTGTGGTTGCTGGTGGGAAAAGATCTCAGCTCCTCAGATTTCGAAGCTCACGTTGTGTCTCCATTACGAACTGTTAGAAACTGATTTCGATCGTCTCCACCTTACAAATAAGGGTAGTGAGCACAGCTTGTAGAGTTTCCCGACCGCTTACATCATCGCCGATGGGATGTCTGCTGGGTTCGACCATGGCTCTGATACCAAAATGGTGTAAAACCAGGCAAACGAAAGAGCAAAGAAACAAAGCAGAACAGCATAATATATTTCTGTTGATAAATTCAGTAAAAAGCTGATGACAATCTTCTCCACTATCCTTCTATACTTCTTTAAGGTAAAGATAATAGCAAGTATTACTATTAAGTGTTACTATTAAGCAATGTAGTATAAAGGAAATTAATAACAGGATAATTCGGTCCAATCCGCCCTTCGACTACACCACATAGAGATTGAAGATGTAGAAAGTAGAGGATGTGAGCAAATCTGGTGGCAAGTCTTACAATGTAACCGTTGTTGTTAATTCCCTTCGTTATGGGAATTGGTTCGACATTTATTAGGCTCAAGTTAGAGGAGGTGCATGGGGCATAACGTTCCACATTTCTGTTCACTTTCAAAGCTCCTGCCAAAGCAATTTATAAACTAAACATATGAGTCGGAGGTGAGGCTGTGAGATACTCCATGAAGTGAACAATCACATGAAAAATGTTATAATGAAAGCATCGAAAGTTCTTTTACAAACTACAAAATATGTCATTCTAGAAAATCTGTCAATGACAAATTGTGTAGAATATGCCTCTCACATGGTTCGTTGCAAACCCAATGTAATATCGAGGTTAAAATCTTCCCAAATCAAACCAAGAATTGGCAAAGGATTGTAAACCTGAGGGCTATTATTTTATAAGTTTGGCACTCTAAGCACCTATTAACAAATTGAGTCATGCCCAAATGAAAAACTGGCCAAAGAAACCTGGATTGTAGAGGGAAACGGTTTTCTCGTTCCCCACATGAGCTACCAATATGCTCATTTGCACCACTTTGATGAGCTAATCCAGCATGGATGTATCCCAAATAGATAATTGGTTTCCCTTAAATAGATAACGAATGACAAATTGAATAGTCAATTGGGTGTGCTCCATGCGCTGGCTCTAGGGAATAAAAAAGTTCTTATCGCAGCTATATAAATACTTCATCCTATGATCTCCATACGTAGAATAGTGACGAGGGAAGTTTGTTAGCTAAGTGCATCAACAACCCGATTTTGGCGAGCTAGCTTTATGCTTTAGCAAAAAGAGTAGCCATCGTGTGTGCATATGACTCAAATCTTTGTGAGTAGAAGAATTATAAAGCTTGTGATGACTACATGGTACAAAGTCATAATGGAGTAAATAATGCACCCATTGTTTGAGTGACCTAATAAATACATATAGCTCTTGTTTGTATAGTCCACTTTTATTCAGGACTGTCAGATTTCTCGCTGAAAAATTCAATCGGATGATTCTCCTGCAAGAGATCAACCCCGATCGCCACTGATGCTGCATCATTATTGACATGGAAAGGGCTTGTTAAAGTTGGGATTGCCAAAACAAGAGTCGGGTTCCCTGACTTGATGGCCTTGGATGAATTGATGGTAGAAATAAGCTAATTCATGGAAACTTCGAATGTCAATTAGACAAATGGGCGTCAGCCAAACTGAAATGGCTGCAACTTCCCTTACATCTGTTCATACACCAGTTGCAATCCCTAGTTGTGCGAGAGCAAAAAGATCTTTACAGATGCTTTAAATTGTCATTGTAGAAAATACAATAGACTAGTATATAATCAAAATATATAATAAAAAAAGAACCAAAGAAGAGTTTAAACACCTCATTTACGAGCCTCAAAAAGATGCAAGGCACGTTGAAATATTTGAAAAGCATGACTTTCCATTCATATAATCCCTCACAAATCTTAAAAACAATTTTCGACTCAACTGGTCAAATGGGGATATGATGTTAGCCACTTTGTAAATGCAATTTGGAGAAGATGATGTAACTGACCGATTTGTCTAGCTTTTTTCCCAAAAGCGCCATGGGAAAATGATAGCATTTTCTAATTTTCTTAATAGACTTATTGTCAACCCACATTATCCAACGACCATTTTCTTCAGTACAAGCAATGTTGGAACATCACAAGGGCTCAAGCTATGTTAAATGAATTGTTTGTCTAGAAATTTGTCTACCATAACCAGCAGCACTTAGTATTTTTAGAGCCATTTTATATCGTGTCAGGTTGGGAAGAGCAGCACCAGAAGTCTGATCAATCTGATGTGAGATTGCTTGAAGTGATGGAAGTTGGAAAGAGAGTGCAGTTGGGTCGATGTCTTCAAATAATTGGAGCAATTGCCACACCTCCCTCAGCATTTGAGTAGCAGGTGTCTCAAGATTATGTTCGACTAACACTTAGGCAAAAAGTCAGGAAGTTTCCCTGCTTGCACTAATCAATGTGATACGGGAGTTGACCCTAAAACCGAAATAGAAATAAAATATTATTGTTGCAATTCAAATAGATTACAATGACAACTATTCAAAACAGGAAATAAACGATAATAAACATAAAAGGACACTTTAGGGGAAGGTGGCAGGGGGCTGTCAAGGAGTTTGGAGGATTGGCGGCACCCCTGGGTGGACTGGAGGGGCTGGGAGGGCAGCAGAGCAAAGGGTTGGAAGGGAATTACAGTTGAGAGGAACAGGTAGGGTGAAGGGACGGCTAGAATCCAGGGGAGGCTGGCTGAATGGGAAGGCTGGAGGAGGGGAATTACAGAAACCTGGGAGGGGTCACAGCAGGAAGGAAAATGCTGGTAGAGGTGGTTGGGAGCTGGTAGGTGCAGGAACCAGTGACAGGACGACTGCTGAAGCAGCGGCAGCAAGGTAAAAAGGGACAAACACATACCACCTCTGAATGAGTTACAGTCGGAGTACATCCCTAGAAGGGAAAAGGTCTGTCCTGACAGAAAACTCAGTAAGAACTGAACCCTAGAACAGAAAAGAACGTATTTGTAATAGGGGATAACTAGGAGAGGGAAATCCCTCTTGTGAGACAGCCCTAACCCAAGTAGGGTTCGGCCGGCCCCCTCCAGTCCCCCGTCAATGACTCCAGATGTGATTATTCATTTCACGGCCAATGGAGATTGAGCATATTGTATTTATAGTATATAAGTTGTGGGATGTGCTTTGCATGAATGCAGGTCAAAGGGAAAACCTATATAATTCATAATAGCATATCCCATTTCCCATATCTAGGTTTAGATCCAAGTCAATTTATTAGCACTGTTGAGGTTTCAAATTCTAAAATTAAATATTTGGATTTGTGCCCGGTTCAACTAAAACAATTCCCGAAAATACTAAGTTATTAACAAGGTGTACTCGCCTTATTATCTTATCTTAAAACTCCAAAGAACATATAATTTTGCAATTTCAAATAAAAGCAGGCATACATGGCGATGATAAAATCAAAGCAATCAAACATAAATGTATACTTAGCATTTCATTAATTATTTACCATGAAGGATGTCATGAAGAGAGCCATTTGTTGCAAACTCGTATGCGAGGACACGTAGACTGCCATCAATACAGTATCCAAGCAGTTGAATAACATTTTCATGATTCAATCTTGAAACCATTGACACCTAAAGATCAATTATACAAGGGAGACTAGTACATACAACATAAAGAAAAATTACATAAGTAGCACACAATTCTTATGTATTTACATCTCACACCAAAAAATTCGTATTTATGCACATAAACCTTTGGTGTTTTAAGCCCATGCATGAAAAAGATAGATTTCACTTTCAAAAAGAGGTAATAGTGTAATTCTTTATGTGAAATTAGAGATTTGAGTGCTGTGTGTGTAAAATTAAAAATTTCAGTGGGAGAGATGTAAATACATAAGAATTGTGTGCCATGTATGTAAATGTCCAAAAAAATAAACCTCAAAAAAGGATGGAATTGCAGAAGTCACCTGAGCCAGAAATTCTTGATCAGGCTGCTTACTGGCATCTAATTTTTTTAATGCAGCAGCTTTCTCGTTTTCTAGTAAGCCATAATAGACTCGGCCATAAGAACCTTCTCCTATTAAAGAATTGCTTCCAAAATTATCAGTTAATGCCTTTATTTGTTCCACAGGAATAGCTGGAACTTCAATAGGCTGCACTTTAACACTCTGAGCACCCTTCAGGGTAGCATCAGATGCACGAAAACCTCCGTCATTGCCTGCATGTTCATTACTTTGCAAACTGTTAGATGATAATGACTATATGAATAATTTTAAGGAGATTGACATATATACCACCCAATTCTTATGTATTTACATATCTAACGCCTAAAGTTTTATTTTTACATCTATACCTCCCAAATCTTTCATATCCCATAAAAAATACCACCATTTTAATTTTTAAAAAGTAAAATACACCTTTTCATGCATAGGGAAGGTGGCCTGTATGTAAAAATTGAAGTTTAGGCGTGAGATATGTAAATTCATAAGAATTGAGTGGTATGTATGAATATCTTATAAATTTAATTAAATAAACCTAATTTAGTTAGCCAATCCTGCAATGTTTAGAAAGAGACAGACTAGCCTTCCATATCATCAAAACTAAATATATAGAAGCTAGAATTCTTCTAATTTTTTTTTAGTGAATAAATTCAAATGTGCAACATTTACATCTGTAATGTATTACTACCAGTTAATAGTTACTCTAGGGATATCAATTTAGCTAATATAGCCTTTTGAATAAGTTATATGAACAACTTTACCATTTTAGAATAATGCATTTACCTGACTTACATGCTAACCATGGTTCATGAATCAAATTTGTTTCTCACTTAACAAAAAGCCAAGCATATAATAGTTACATAGCATGAATTATAATGGATCAAATCATCTATTTCCATACAATAAAGTACGAAATGAGAAAATTACTAGAAAAATTACATACATGCCACAATTCTTATGTATTTACATATTTAACTCCTAAAATATGATATTTACAATCAAGACACATTGCTGTCATAAAGCTAAGCATGAAAAGGTGTATTCACTTTTAAAAAGTTAATAATAGTAGTATTTTTGATATGATGTTAAAAAGTTGAGTTCCATGTATGTAAATATGAAAGTTCAGGTGTTAGATATGTAAATAGATAAGAACTGCTTGGTATGCATGCAAATGCCCCAAAAGATACTACCAGATGATTTCTTTGCAGAAAAAGCAGCTCCATTATCATTTGTCTTATGATTATCTGATCCTCCACAGCATGAAAAGCACGACATTTTTCTCTATTTTACTTCCCTATTAGAATAAGAACATTCTTGTAATTTCAGGAAAAAAAAAAGAATCAATAATAATAAAAGTAATGCATTTACAAGAGATAAATCGCTAGAATCATAATGATTCTATAAAGAGCGAAACAAACATGTGCATCCTCCATGTCCTATCCCTACCCAAGCCAGATTCCAAAATTATCACCAAAATTCGCCTTTTTATCAACTATTTAACTTTATGAATCTTTGTTTATCATTCAATTCTACAGCCTCCCTTCCAAGGGGCGCGTACTGGGATTTGGGCCAAAAACAATTGGAAGTCAATAATCTAATGTTATATTGTTTCCCCCATTGATCCAATGCCTAATCCAAATCCTAGCTCATAATTTCCAACAAAATATTGGTGAAAGTTTACACCGACGAGTTCTAACAGGGCACCAGAAGAAAACAAGAAGTGAATTTAACTTGATAGTCATTCACAGATAAAAAAAATCAATCTTTAAAATCATCAACGCACATATGCTTATAAAAAAGATACAAAATGTGTCACACTGACACTGTAGAATTGGTAATATATCCATATCATTTCAAAGCCTTTGTTTTTCTTCTAAACCAGGTTACCATCATCTAAACCAATCCTCATACTGTACAAAGATCATTAGAAATAGCTTTCTCATAGCTCAGCATCACTGCACAGATAGAAGCATCAATCTATAATCATCAAATCAAAGAGAAAGAGAGAGTTACGCACTCTGAAGGATGATCTGATACATCAATCAGCCATTTCTCACCATTCTTAAATCATCGATAACAAGTGCTACGCTCTAAGCCAATATAATCCACCTGAAACCAAAACCCCCTTCAACCACAATAAGAATTTGATCTTTCAACACACTTTAAGAACATGTGGTCAACGTCTAATTGAGAATAAATCTACTTTATTCGACCCAGACAGAATTCCTTCATCTGCATATCTTAATTTGTACGTATATTATTGACAACAGGTAAGCTCAATAATTCCCCCAAAATTATAGCACAAAATTAGGAATATTCGACGAGCCAGAATCACGAGAGTTCACATAGAAGTAACCTCGGATTTCAAACACAAAATCTTCCAATCTAACTTGAAATCCAGATCAAATCCAGTAGAAAAAACATCAGAGAAAAAGAGGGTTCAAAAACAAATAAAGCGAATTCTCTGAAAGCACAAATCCGGAATAAGATCTACAAAAAAGGAAAGCGGGGGGCGGGGGGTGTGGACGGGGAGGGAAATCAGAAGCTTCGTTAGGACATGAATTTCACATCCTACCTTCTGTTATGAACCCGGCGGCCGTCGGCGAAGTACGGTGATGAACTGCGGCGGCAGAGTGCACGCGAGCAAAAGAACTCTGGGAACCGCCGGGAAGGTCTGAGTGAGTCTTACAAGGCTTTAAGTAGAAAGCGCACACATTTCTGCTCCGTGGAAAACGGTGGGGTCACCGTTGTAAGATCAAAGGTTAGATTTTTTTTTTTTTGTTTGGGCGGGGACAATTACATATAGATCACATAAATTTTGTTATTTACAACTTTGCCATTCTCTTTCACCTATTTTTCAAATTCTCACTCAAATATCAAAATTCATGATAAAGCCCCAACTCATATTTTTCATTTTTATTAAATTCTCAATAATTTTATTGTGGCATGAATTAATGCATCAATTTAATAGTTAAAAAATAATCACTCATATGATTAATTTACAAATATAAGTATTTCGAGTGGTCTATAAGTACTTATCCTTTTTTTTTCTCCCACGTACTAAAAGAGTCAAACGTGGCATATGATGACTTTAAATTTAAGATCTCATGAGAAATATAAAACTCTCAATTATTTGGCCAAGATATATTACATAAGCTAGAATCATATTTGAACATGTGTTCAAATCATTTTTGAATATATGTTTTCTATTAATTAAATCTTGCTTAAATCTTATAATGATTTGAATTGTGTTTACATTTTTGGGAATTTACTTACATATCACACAATTCTTATGTATTTATATATTTGTTGCGTGACACAAAATTCACGGCAGTAGAATTACTAATTGATGTATTGGCGTTGCATGAAGATAGACACAAGAGTATACAATAAAAAGGTAGAAGAAAATACATTAGGATTTTTTACGTGGAAAAATTTGGAAATAAGAAAATATCATGAGACTCAACCAATCAAAGTAATTCACAATAAGTGAGTACAAAGATATACCATTTTCTCATGACATGAAGGATAAGGTTACAATTTTACACTAGTATATATACAATGTATAGAAAACTTTTAGGAGTCCCGAAAAAATCATTGTATTCATAATATGGTGGTCGTAAGTAATGATCGGTAAAACTTATCAACAGATTTTCAATATGATGTCATATATTATGATCGTATTTTAGATACAACATTAGCAAGTAGAGGTTGCTAACGGTGGCAAGCAGGATCAGTTAGATGTGATAGATGGTGGCTGACATGAGATTTTTGATGGCGGTATGTGGTTACGGTGGTCGAAAGTTAACTTCTAGTCTTTCAGTATGGAGTTGTATGTCATGATATTATTTGGGATACATTGTTTGCAAGCGGGGGTTGCCAATTGCGACGAACAGGGGTGGCCAGCAGTGGTTGACGGTGGTTTGCAACTATGAAGGCAGGAAGTTATTATCTAGTATTTGGTCTAGAATAGGTTCTAGTGTTCCTTCTCTTCCCCCTCCCCCTCAGGTGAAGAGAGGGGGTCTATCTATGGCCTTTGTGGTTGGGCCATTTAGATCTTTTGGCAAATAATTTATCCAAACACCTAATCAGATGACCTAAATCGATTCCCATTGATTATAGAGTTTTTTTTAATGATTTGAGAGCCTAAATGACCATGAAATCAAGCAAGGTTAGACTTGTTGGATTTCTCTCGTCGAGACACTCGATTTAAATATAAATATGTCAAATTTTAAGTTCATTTGACCTTCAATTGACAATCCAAAACCTTCAAAAGTGCTTTAATAGCTTTATTGGATTCAGATCGAACCAATTTTGGTATTCAATTTGTCTTGTCGGGACGATTAGTTTGAATATAACCTTTCAAAAGTTGGGGCTTTAGATGATATTTAATTTGAATATAGAGTGTTTCTTGCTTAAAAATGCCTTAAGATTCATGCCAAATAATAAATTATATTGACGATGCATAAGTTGCACCCCTACTCCGAGTGATGTTGATTGTTTCGCCTAAAAATAAATATTCCATAAATTTATATTTTGAGACATTTTGATTTATCCTTGGGTACTTTGGAAATATCCAGGTCTCGTACTGAGCCTGTAAGTATTGCTTGGTTTCTTACTATGATGATCATAGTGAAATGGAAAATGGACAAACTCATGCATCACTTGTTTAGATGTTTAGAAAATATGAAGAGTGAATTTCTCCTTGGTGAAGAGACTCTTTCATCTCAAGAATAAGACTGCCCCTGCGATCTTCTTAGTTAGAAAATTAGTAATGACATCATCAATATGAATCAAAGGTTTAGAGTGTTGTGTGTCTCATGAAAGAAGATATATCCTAGCATTTCTCACCAGAACATTTGCCACACAGTCAAACGGTGCCGAAAAAGGATTCTCACTAGAGGGATTTGAATGTCCTGTTGGGCTGGAACGAATGAAGGGACCTATTCTTGGTGATGTTGTTGAGCCCAAAATAACTTATTTCTGGTCCTTTAGGCTCTCCTGCCTAGCCCAAGGGAAGGAGAAGCCTCAGAAAGACCTAAAACGAAGGAGAATTGGACAACAGTTAAACAAATCGAAGGTGTGACCATAAGAGTAACTATGGTCTTCCTAGAGATAATCGACAGTGCACGGTCCTTGAGAGTAGATAGCCTAGAAAACACAGAATGACCGCCAAATAGTCTTCACTCTTATTTGAGGAAGGGATAGTACCGACACAAGCAACCACAACGAGAAAAGTTCTATATGCACGACTCCCCTTCCTCTAAGGAAGGCACATGACAGATGTCTCAACAGGCGTAGGATTACCAAGGGCAATCCTAACAAGATACTTTAAGGAACTAAAGTTGATGATCCCCTCTTCTATATGAAAAACACTAAGAAAAATATAACAATGTTCTCCTCAAAAGATGTGATAGCAATCATTTTCTACCATCTATATCATGTCAATCAGAAAAAACTACCATCAAATTCAAAAAAAAAGTTGAAGGTATAATCAAAATATATAACAACACCAATTTCATATGGAAATACAGTAACTGAAATACTGAGGGTATGAAAGGGACAAAATAACATAAAAATGCTAAGCTTGACAACTGATTCATTGATTGAATTTCAAGGTCAAGGGTAACAAAAATGACAAAAAGATGAATAATGCATCACAAAAATGTAAGCAAGACTTGTAAAATGAAGAGCGAGTCTCATCCCAAGCAGAGTTGCCAGTTTTATTTTAATCCTTTTTAACTCAACTTGTCTGATTCTCGTCTTACAGTTCTCCTTTCCAAATAACCTTATTTCTTGGATCAGCAAAAATGATTGAAAAATTAGAAAGAGAAAATACAATGAAACTAGACAAACAAAATAAAAAAAAAATACGTGAAGAATTTTTATGAAGTAGACTTGGTGTGATAAATCAAGAGTGTATGCTCAAAACAAAATCAGGTTAAAACCTTTTAAAAGCATATCCATACAGAAAACCATATATAAATTACACACATTTATAACCAAAGAACCAAAAGTTATATTTTTTAAGAGGGTGAAGAGCAACTCACAAAGTAATGTGTCCCTTTGATTAATTGCATCTTGGGATACCCAAGAATACTCTTGATTACATGAATCTTCTTAATCGTTGGCATCTGTTTTAAATTCCTTGCACATTGAACATTTTTTCGAGTGACAATGGATTATATTAGATTTTTACATAATATCTTGTCATTCGATGAGTCCATAGAGCCATCAGTGAGCACTTCTTGTGCCAGACTAAGAGTTTACCTGATTCTGGTTGTGCTCAAAATCGGCTATCGTCAGTCGACATCGGTTCCTCATTATGAGGTGAGCCTAACAACCATTCTGGTTTTTGGAGGTCACACATTAGTCATTTTGGATTTTCAGTGGCTTGTACGAGTCATAAACTCTCTTTCACAGAACTTCGAACGTCGAAAGATCCTAAGGGCTCGGTGTGACCACGCCTAGAGTGGGTGTGGGCACACCTAGCCCTTAACGTGATTGTTGATCTCATTTTTTATGAGGTCTTATAACACTTCTTATATTTTATCTTTTCTCGCATATTATTATTTTTACATCAACTATTTTTATTAATAAAAATATTTTCTTTTGATTCCCTAAGTATATCTCGTCACCTGTTTAATAAATGTTTGTTATTTTATCTCACATAGAATTAGTTTTTTAATGAACATCCCAAATCCTCAAATCTAGAAGTTTACTCAAAAAAATAATTTATTTGTGTCTTTTAGGTGCCACAATCTGATTTTATGGCAATAATTTATTGTATTTTTTATCTTCCGACTTGTCTTAAAGTCTATAACTAACAATCGATGTTGAGTACTTAAATTTTTATTTGAAATGACCTTACAATGTTTAAAAAATATATGAGTAAAAATAGAGTTTAGTTGTTCCATATGTAAATACATAGGATATGGGTGGTATGCGGTAAATATTCTTAGTCCACATAACAAAATATCAAACTAACACTGCTCTTTAAATCGAAAAACATATGCATCTATCAAGTGCTTAGGATATCACATTGGATCACTTGTTAAAAATGTTTGATTTTTTAAAATAAATTTGTAAATTTTTAAGTACAAATATATATATATATATATTCTGTTTGCATATATATTAGTTCGAGAGCTCAGTTCGGCCAATTACGAGTTGAACCCATATAGTTTGATTCAGCCCTCCTAGCCGAGTGCGAACAAAGAAAGATAAATCGAGTCAAACAAGAACCTATGTTTCACAAGCCAATTTTGAACATAAATAAATTCAAACGAGCCAGGCAAGCATCAAGTTTGAGCTCGCTCAAGCTCGGGGTTGAGGACAGGGTGGCAAATAAAATATCAATGTTTAGGTGTTAGATATGTAAAGACAAAGGATTGGGTACATGCATATAAATATCTCCCTTTTAACTGTATATTTATATAATTATTAATATATAAGAATTGCGTGGTATGAATGTAAATTTTTGGTTTTTAAGAGTTGGCCCACCGGAGCGACGAGGTGACCGGCCAGTGGATGGCCAGCCGGAGGGGGAGGTGTCCGGTGTCAGTAGAAAGCCAGCTTCAGGCTAGGTGGTAGACAAGATTTGATGGCATTTATGTAAACCTGTTATTTGTGAGATGGCCGGCTGAAGCAGTGAGGAGGTCGACCAGTGGATGGCCGGCCGGAGGGGGAGGTCGTTGGC